TAGTGACATTGTCACCACACTTTGTTGCCAAATTCAGGAGCTTCCTGGGTGAAATGTAAAGCTTTCCCGGCCCCTGACCCCAGACAAGGAGGGCACCTAGAACCCAAAGAAAGCAGGGGAATTTACATGCGAGGCTTGTTTTGGCGCTGCAAGACTGGTAGATTGCAGTGGGTCATCAGAATCTTAAATATTTACTTTGAGGCCTTAATGGGGTTTAGTTACGTGTGTATATATACAATACAGATTGTTCTCTCAAGGCTTTCTCCTTGAAAAGGCTTTTAATGTGGAAACAGAGCGAGGAATGTACATTGCAAGGGGAAAAGGAGGTGAGGAGCCTCCCACTGCCTGGGTCCAGCTTGTGGGTCACCTGGTGGTCACCTCCTCTTGATGACCTCCTCCAACAACTAGGGTGAGGTTTTTCTCTCAGGCATGAATAACAAACTCCTCTGCAGCTAAGATGTTCAGATTACCCAGGTCTCATCAATGGGATATTTTTTAGAATCATTCAGTTGCTTTTCTTTGTATCGTTTGCTACTGTACAAAATCCCTTCTCTCCTTCCAACACTCAGCAGCATTTGCCTCTCTTGACCACTCCTGCTTTCTTGAAACGCCTGGTTTCCATTGCATTCTGCCAGCTCCTTTGCATTCTTCCAGCTCCTTTGCATTCTTCAATGTTGCCACTCCTTGGATGCTTAAGAACTTGAAGTAACACTGTCTGAGTGTGAATCCTGGCTCTGCAGAATGGTATGTAACCATGGGCAAATCACATCACCTCTCTGTGTGTATCCTTCCTCATCGCCTAAAATGAGGGTACTAATAATATCTATGACATGTGGTCCTTATAACTTTAACTGATTTTATCTGCATTATTAGCTCCAGTTTAGAACACTCTCCTGAGCTCCAGGTGAGTATTTCCAGATGTGCAATGGAAGTTTCCACTTGGATCTTTCACAGACATCTTCCTCCTTTCACTCTCTATTTCAGCTTCCCTTGCCTGCCCTCATCTGCCTTCTCCGTACTTCCGCCTACCTTTTAAAACTCTGAATTATCCTGCAAAGTCTAGCTTGGCTGCAACCATATGTAGGAGATAAAGATTACGTGCTGAGAGAGACGAGAGCAGGGACGTGTAAAGGAAGATGGACCACAGACAGAAAGAGAAAGGAGATCAAACAGGAAGAATTTGTAAAAAGCCAGAGCAATGATTGGAGATCCTTCATCTAGAGGCATGCACTGGGCATAACAACTTGCTTTCCTACTTTTGTCTTTCTATCATGGAGCACAGTGTGGAGGGCATTGCATATTGGAATAATTCTCACTTCCTTGAGTGAAATTCATGGGTCAGCAAATAAATGAATAAATAAAGATACCCATGCCTCTGAAAATTTTTCTCCCTAGCATTTCAGATGGGCACAAAGCAGCAGCATCTATGAAAGCGATCTGGTCTTGGGTAATTACTACCAGAAATCAAAGTTTCATAATATTCTTGAATGGCTGTTTCCAACAGGCATCTTGCATTGTTAAAAGAAAAATGATAAGCAAATTTACTCAGTAGGCACACGGATTTGGATATGTCCGGGGATGCTTTTGACCTCCTGCTTTAGCATCCTGGCGGATCCCTAAGAATGCAGTTCTATTCAAAGTCAGAGCTGTTTTTTGTTTGGGTTGTGTATTGAAATTATTGTCCTTAAAAATATTCAGGCCCCTGTTGCTCTTTTTTGTGTTTTTTCCCTCTTGGCAGGATTTTGGGACTTCATAGAACCCATGGCCAAATTATCCAGTGTTTTTTTGAAAGCAAAAATATGTTGTACCTGTCTACGGGAACTACCCTTCATCACGCCACTTTAGAGAGGTAGCCTGGGTCTCCACCTGAGTGAGATGCACCTATCAGGCCCTGAATTGTCACAGATATGAGTGAGCAAAGTGTGCAAGTTTTGGCCGTCTATTTACCTGCATAATTTATCTACTTAAAGTGTTACATTTGTCAACTCATTATCATAGCCACTGGATTTTGTTGCTGATGATGAGAAAAATACATTATAAATAACTTTTAAATTAGCATATAATTATGATGTATTATGTTTCGGGATTCTAATAAATGTCCATATCCTGAATAGAAGAGATTCTAGCTTTATTGGTAACTATACTCAATTCCAGGAACATCTCATTAAGCAACAGATTTTATTGTCCTTCCCAGCAGGTTGCTGGAAGAAAATTATGAGATGCATTACTTCTGGACAAGTTTTATGTACCAAATCTCTCCTCCCTGCAAAAAGAAGTGCATTCTTAAAGAATTTAAATTTTAATTTTCTATCTTTGCTTTCTCTTTGCAAACTTTCATTTAGTTTACTAAAATATCTTGATAATAGCCTTTAAAATTGATTGTGCCTCCAGTAAATGTCTGAAGGATGTTTTTTGATTTCTTCTTTCAAGCCTTAAAACATGTTAAATTTCAGCTGTGTATGTTTTTTTTAATTTGTTACCAGTTCTTGAAAACAAGCAAAAAATGAGGTGTATCAAACGTTAATGAACTCTTTTCAGAGTTATTTGACAACAGAGAAAAGTCCTACTTTGATTTTCTGTGACTTGTAAGCACAAATGCATCTGAAACTGGCATTCGTGCAAGAACATGTGACTACTTCTAAGGAACGGTGTGCTGCTTCTCTGAGATGTGACGCTGAACTGGAATGTTTGTGTATTTCTAAGTTTGTAGTTTGCAATATTCATATTTTGCCGAGTAGCCTACTACTAGTTCATTATACTTTTATTTGGAAAGCCTGTGTTTGATCCTTGTTCTTCTTTCCTCTGGAGCCTTAGATGAATAAAATAACAAATAATTTACTACCCTGAAGCCAAACAGCCAAGGCTGTGATCTTTTCAAGTCTTAATATGTTTGACCCCCTCTTCTACATGGAGGAAGGAGATGTCCGTAGGGGAAAAAGGAATCTGGAGAATACAGATCTATACATATGACATATATGATTGGCTATTCCCTAAAATCATTTTTTTTTACCAAATGTCTACTCACACATTAGCCAGTACAAAAGATTTCTATTAATTAAATAAAAGTAAAAATCAAGGAATTAGTGTATTAAAGTGCTCTGTCCGCACCCCACATACGTACTCTGAATATGTATAGGAAGATATACGAGGTCAGAGTTCTGAGACAGGAAAAAGAGATTAGAGAATATGAGGGAATTAAGAATATAAAATAGAAAAGTTATAGAAAACAACCTGTTCATTGTTTCAATGAGACAAAGAAGAGAATCTGGAAAACACAGATTCACAAATTAGATTTAATTATTTCCTGTAAACATTTTTTAAGGAGATGTCTATTCTCACATTTTTCAGTACAAAAATTGTACGTGAGCAAATGTTAAGTGTTCAGCTCTGTAGTAAGAGGTTTGCAGTATCTATAGTCACATAATTTGTCAACATAAAATTATTTTCCTTACTTATCTGGCTTGTGAAAACTTCTAATCTCATTCCTAGAAAATTTTTGTTTTCAAATATAAGATTTACATTAATAGAAACAAATAGCTTACTAAATTTTGTGGAAATTAAAAGTGCTTCTTATTGACAGGAGCCCAAGACTTCATAATAACCAACTAATCTCATGCATTTTTCTCTTGAAGGCTATAATCTTTCAACAAACAACAAATGAATAACCCTTACCTCAAAGAAAAAAAAAGTTCAGAGTTTAATTAAATTAATTTGGTACTGAAAATCCGGATCATCTCTAAGCCCCAGGCTTTTAAAATTAAAACAACTAAACAAGAAAAAAAAAAAATCAACAGGAGAATCCTAACTGTAACTCTACAACTCTATCACTGTGCATAAAGGAGTTACTCCATTCCTCTGAATCCAAGATCTTGGGGACAAACCACAAAATGTCAATTTTTCTCTCCTACATCTTCAAGATTCTTCTCCTTAAGACACATTAACTTCCTAATGAAACCATCCTGTCTTCCGTTGCCAGTCTGGGTCAGAGGGTAAATAAATCTCTTGATTTTTAAGCACAAGTGAAGATAGCTCTTTCTGGTTTTTTCTCTCTCTCTTTCTAAAAATGTTACTTCCTCTGGTATAGAGTTTTGCTCACCTCAGCAAGATTGTTTTCTGGAGTTTTCAGGCAACATTTCATTTCACCCAAGAAATATATTGTAAAGTCTGCAATATTTTTCTAATGTACTTTTTGCCACCTGTCTTTTAGAACTCATCTATGTGACCCGAATCTGTCCAGGGTTTTCACTGGTTCCCGTGTATTTGCGGGGAGATTTTCCAGGTCCCCCAGTCAGTGCTCGTGGTCTCACAATTTCCCTTCCTCCCTCAGTGTCTCCTCTGTCCTCATTTCCTTTGTTTCTATTCACCCCCTTCCCCATCCCTCTTTCTCCTCCGTATTTTCTTCCCTCCTCCCCTCCACCCGCTGTCGTTTCCTCAATTTCTTAGCTGTCGTGAAAGCACCCTGTCTTTAAAGTTACTTCTCCATTACATGGTCTTTAGCTGTCTCACTAGATATGAAAGCTCTTTGATGTTCCCTTTTTCAGTCCTGTGTCCCTGAGCAGTCTTTTAGAATCTCAGTTTCTAATTATGAGGATTTTTATGACAGTACATATGTCAAGCAACCAAAACATAGTAAACAGTTATTAATGGCACATATTTTCCGTTTATGATGTTTCTAACTTGCATTTTGTCTTGTTTTGCATAAATTCCCCTTCTTTTTTGTTCCCTTCAGGCTTCTTACATGCTTACATAATATTAATACATAATAAAATCTTTTACAATTAACAATATTTTTAACCTTTAGTACCATTTCAGAAGCCTAGCTCTGGCTCTAGGATTAACACATTTTCATCTTTAATGCTTCAAATCAAAAGAGATACTGTGGATAAAGTCACAGGTTCTAAATTTATAAACTGACATATTTTATATCTTCTTCAGAGTGGATGATTGTCAGATCAGTAATCAAGGAGTAATAACAAATGGTGCAGAACACTGAACATGTCACGTGCTGCTCTTCTGCCTTTCTGTGCCTAAAGTGTATTTATCAGGAAACTCATCAGCCTTTCTGTGTACCCATTCTGTCACTTTTACTGGAGGTTACTTTATCACAGAACTACCCTCAATCTAATTAATGCAAAATAAACTTATTCAAAGTAAGAATATCAATAGACCCATCAAATTGTTTTAAATTAATTTTCTTAGCCATATACATATTTAAAAAATTTCATATGGAAAGAATTCATAATAATGAAAGTATTCATAATAATTTTTGGAAACATAAATCCTAAGAAGTGGTGATGTGTATTTTATTCTATATATCTGAATTTTTTTGGATTTCATAAAATATATTATGTGTAGAATGAAATACGAAATATTTTTATTTATAATTTTATTTATAATTAAGTTATACAGAAATTTTGATGGTTCTTTTTCCATATTTTACTCATGCCATATTATACTGTTACTATTTATTTTCATATCTTCTAATCACCTTCTTTAATAATTTGTACAAATTATTTAATGAATTTTGGCATTTGAAGTTCCTTCAATAGAAATACCAGAAAAAATAAAGGAAACCATCTGAACTTGAAAGAGATGCATAAATGAAGTACATTCACAGACAGGGATTAGACATATAATGAAAAAAAAGTAAAATTAATCAAAAATTATAATCACTAAGTTGTAAAAAAAATTTATTAAGCAAAACAGAACAAAATTATTTGAGGTATATAAAAGTATACATTGAAATCATATAACATTTTAATAGGTTTTAATTTCTAAGGGTATATATGTAAAATACATGTTGGCACATATAATTCATGTATGTTCAATATTTTTTAATAAAAATTTTGAGATTATATAGCATAGGCTTCAAAATAGGTTTTTCCTAAATCATCACTGTTTATTTTAAATTTAGTATACTTTTTAGTGTACTTCTCAATTATGAATCTTCCATAGCTTACTTCAGAATGGATAGCAAAGGGCCCAGTTCAGAATAGCAACTTTGCTTTAAAAAGTTTCTGTAGTGAACTCCTGAGGATATGACCAGAAGTACATGACTACAGTTACTGTACAGATTTTTGCTAAAGAAAAAATTAACCCCCTCAACTCTACTTTGGAAAGTTAATTTCCTTCTCCACGTGTTTTATGGAATCAAAAAAGTGGTAGAATATGTGTATTACTAACTGGGGTGTAACAGAGCCAAATCAATCCCCACACATTTATTTTAGATATTGTGCAGTTCTTAGCTGGCATCAGTAGCAGTATTTGAAAGTATTTAGTATCTCTTGTGTATTTTTTTGGAAATATTTTATCCTAGCTGTAAAATCTGATGAAATTTTGGTCCAGTCCCACCTCTAATACGAACAGTGGAGTGCTTGACAAATGACGTAAATCCTCTGCCTTTATTTTCCTAATCTGTAAAATGAGTATAATAACAAAGTCGTAGAGCAGGAACAAGGACTAAATGAGATGCTATGCTCATTAAACACTAGTTCCCTTAGTCTAGATTTGTTTACTCTTGGTTTTAATATGGCAATGCAACTTAAAAGATGACTGTGGCACACTGGAAATCAAATAAATGGAATGTTTTGAGCACCTTACATAAGCAAATGGGAAAAGGCTGGGAGGATATTGATGTCTTGCTTTTGCTTCAGCAGAACTGCATTTAACATAAAGGGGAGTCATTTTATTGAATAATAAAAGCCTGACAATCACTGTGATTGGCTGACGGCCATTACTGCAGTGTAATTCTAAACAGCTTGTTTTTCAAAGTTCTTCTTGAATGACTCTTTAAAACTCAGGCATTGCCCAGCCTAGCTGAAGAGCTCAAAAGTCATTTTTAAAGTGGAGTTTCTCATATCTGAATATTGCTGAAAAATATCCACTGAAAGAGAATTTTCTTATTAAATGATTAGAATCAGATAATTTTTTGACATGGGAGGAAAAATTTGGAAAATTCAGCAAACTAAGGTATAATGGTAGAAAAATTAATTTATGACTCAGAGAAGAAAAAGACTGCATTTGGAGAGATCTATTTTTTTTTTAAAGAAGCTCCATGTGTTTTGCAAGTGAAAAGCACATTTGATCTGTATTATTCAGCTTAAAATCCTATCATTTCTGAACAGGACTCAACAAGACTTCCAAAATTACCAGCTCCACTTTGATGCATTCATCTTTCTCAGTTAGTATTGCTAATCAGCAATCTTCACTCTAAAATATGTATAATAAGTGGGTGTAGAATTGGCAACTCACCAAAATAAATATTTAATAATATTTTAATGGTTATTTTAAATCTCTTTTATTTGAATTGTGGATTAATACTTTATTTGATCAATGAGTTTTGACCAGAATGCTTGAGAAATAGGAGAAATATATTTGCTGTTGAAGCTTTCTATAATGGATGTGTACTTAATTTTCAGAATTGTCCAGGTTAGATCATCTTTGATGGAGGCATTTTATCTTAAATGTCAACATTGGAAACACTGAGATAAAGATCAGGGACAGCAATCTGTGAACTGCAGAACTGCGTTAATTGTTCATTCTCGAACATAGAGATGCCAATTAATTCCACACAACCCAGATTCAAAGCAGCACTGGGAAATGGTCTTGATATTAGTATTGCACAAAAATTAAGAAAAACAGATGTGCTCCAGCGCCCAGAAAACTGATTCTTGAACAGGCAGCGATAGAAGAATCCTAGTGCATCCAGCGATTGGCTGATGGAATCTTTGTTCAGGCAGTAGGCATCCTAAACCAGATGCTAGGTGGAGAAACCCCTCTCTCACCCTCACCTTCAGAATCCACAGCTCAGCCACCTGGGCTCCCACGAGCTGCGCCGCCGCCTCACTCCGGGTGCACGTCTCCCCCTCTCGACCGCCAAGTGCTCACTCCCTCCCAGGGAGCACTTACACAATGGACTCACTTGTTTCCCTTGCACCTCTCCTTTGACTTCCAGCCCCAGCCCACAACTTGGGCAAGAGTCAGACAGGAGCCTCTGCCATGGAGCAGGGACCCGCGGAGCCTTCCAGACGAGCTTCGAGGCACGCGCACACTCGCAGACAAAACAAACAATGCCTGGTCCCCGAATGAATAAATTAACGACATCCACGCCCCCACCCATCGCTCCGCAACCCGCCGAGGGAAACCCTGGACGGGGTTGCCTAAAGGAGAGCGTTTGTTTTGGCTTTCAAACTGCAAACATTCCTGTTGGATGACGGCGAAAGAGATGCTGTGCGTTCTGCTGGCAATAAAGATTGACGGTGGCTTTGCCGGTGACAACGCCCCCCGTAGCGCGCTGAGCCAGGTTCTTTGAGAACTGCAAGAGGGAAGCTCAGATCAAGGGGGAGGGATAGGCAGATGCACAGACAGTTTAGGAGGGATGAGAAAGGGGAGATCGGGGGAGGAAATGAGTTCAGCTGGGCTTTAATAATGAAACTTCGGAAGAGAAAGGGATGGAGGTCTCTCCCCCAGGTAACTACCCTG